GACAGCCAGTCGCTGTGGCAACGGCGCAACCTCCGGGGACCACGCGCTCTCCTGCAGCCGGTGCGGAAATCTGTGGCGCTGCGCTTCAGTTGCTCAGACAGCAGTAGGTATCACGGACACTAGCTTAAGCGAAATGGGTTTTTTCTTTGGCATAAGCCCCTTTGCAGAAGTCTGGTAACAATGGAGCATCATAGCTTTCACTAGGCCAACTGGTATAACTGGACAAATTTTCAGGCACAAACAAGCCCTTCTTCAGTATGCTGGATATTATTTTTTTTTCTGGTATGACTGAAGCCATACGCCTACAACAAGGTGTGAAGCACAGCAGAATTCCGGTTTGCTTTAACAGAAGATCCTTCTTTCTTCAGAATAGTAATCAGCCAGGAAAGGAAGAGGCAAAATGCAATTAGAAGCAATATTTGGGCAAGTGCGATTACAAACATAAGCGCTTGCACACATGCCCTTGGGCAATGTGAAGTGAGAGTATCACTTGCACACATGGACAATATAATCCCGAGCTGGCGAGTTGATAGTGTGAATACATAGAAATGCCCAATATACAAAAAAAGAGCTGCCAGAGAATTTAGCCGAGTTTAAAAATGCAAATTTTAATCCTTCGGGAAAACCCTTTATTGATCTTGACAAAATGGCTTTTTTTCCCCCGTTCCAAGTGATTCCATAAATGGAGAGGGCTAGATGGAGTGATGTGCTTGTCAATGTGGTGTACACCTGTTGCTCTTAAGTGGCAGAACAGCAGACGTGGGTCCTTAGTTCCTGCAGCAGATAAATTTTTAAACTAACCCAGGACTGTTAGGAAGGGGGTTAGGGGTGCTTTTTTTGTTTAGGAGGGGGACCATTTGGTAATGTTGTTCAGAGAATGGCAATGGCTGTTCTTGAAAAACTGTGGTGAGCTACAGACAGGGGTACCAGTCTGAGCATCGAATTGCAGGTGCTGCAAGGACTAAATAAGAGTTGTTGGAAGACATAGATAATGCATGATATTTAACTGAAACTATCACAAAGCTATTCATTAACCGCGAAAGTAAACAAATGTCTCTGAAGAATGCTAAGTTACAGTTTTCTAGAGGCAAAAAGCAGAACAATGTAGACTGCAGACTAAAGAGTTACTTGATCTTACTTTCTTAGTTACTATTTGAGATGGTGGAGAGTATTTAGAAATAGTTAAGCTAGTGTGATCATCAAGATGTGGAGACTTCCAGCTTTATTTTTATTTCAGAATGCCATTTATCTCCTTATATTTAAAATTAACTTCTGCTTTAAATACATGGAAAATAAGGAAGAGGAAAATAAATTACTTGTGAGTACTGAGAGAGAATGGAGGAACAAGCATCTCTAGAAAAAGCCATAGCTTTCCAGCTGTTGCATGCAATTCTGTCGGCATCTTCATCTCCTTTTCCTTTGTGTGATGAGGCTAGAGTCTCTACACAAGTGACACGATGGTACCTCTCCTGCTGTCTTGTCTATGTTGATTTGTATTTTAGGAGGGTAGGTATTTTCAAGCCTTTATTTGGTCTGAAAAATGTCTTTTCCCCCTCCCCCCCAGAGAGGAGAATGTAGGCAAGTAGTCCTGAAAGCCTATAAGCTTCTGAGGTATTTGCAGCAGTAAGTGCATGTTCGCTGCCTGAGTTAAGAGGACACTTTCAAAGACATGTATGTAAATCTGTTCAATCCAGATGACAAGTGAATACACAACCTTTTTTTT